TGCTGACAAAGCATAAATCTCTCAGTCCCCTCAGGCAGGCGTGGTTCCCAGAATCACTCTCAAGCGCCAAACCAAGTACCCACTGGTAATTAATCCCTCTACATCCACTGAAGGTTTACTAACCTCGGTCACAGCCTTTCTTTTTCTTAAAATTTGAGCCAGCAAATAAGTATTAAGATAGATTTATTCTCATTATACGGTTAATAATGGAGGGCTCTGAGGAATAAGTGACTGGACCACGTTTACATGTGGTTTCCAGATGCCAAAACAAATGCTTTGCCATTGACGGTTCTGAGTAGTTATAATCTTTCAAAGGTGGTGCTGATGATAAAGATGATGATGACTTTTATACTGACATCTCACAATTCACAAGCCCAACCTGGAGGCAGTGACTGGGACACAACAACAGAGAACCTTCATTTTATTAAAAACGACAACAAAAGTAACAGATCATACTATTGAGCACTTAATATGAGCCAGTTGATGTCTATATATTAGATAATCATCTGCAACTCTAATTTAATCTTCACAATCACTCTATACAGTAAACTGTCTTATTATCTCATTTAAGCGGACATAGAAACTAAAGACAAAAAAGGTCTAAGTGACTTTCTCAAGGTAACATCAAGAGTAAGAGTGGGAAAATTCTGTCGGACTCCAGAACGTGTATCGTATTTTTAATCATGACACTAACTAAACGTGACATTAGCACGCGCTGCCACTGACAGCTCACTGCATTGCTTCCTCCACACTATCGAACAGGAACACTGGAATTTCTTGTCTTGATTGCACATCACGGTTGATGAAAAACCTTCGACTGATTCCAGCATCTGTTCTCTTCAACAAGCCCATCAGGTAGGGTTGTTATCGATAGGTGATGGATAAGTAAAGGAAGAGTCTGAAGAAGTAAACTGTTTCCAAGATTAAAAGACACGTAAGGAACAGAGCTGTCAGCAGGTCGTCCGATGCTTTTCCATGATGTCGTGTGTCCCAGGATCACATTTCATATCGACTGCTGACAATGACAATTGTGTCACTCCCCCTAATAGTACTGTGCCTCCCATATGTGTTATCCTAATTATAACTTCAATGACTCTCTGAAGCAGTTACACATGGTTACAAACTAGAAAGCAGAGATTCAAAGCCAAGTAACCACCAAGGTCAGACTGAGAATAAGGAACAATGAATAGGTTCCCATCCCAACTCTACCATGCGAAAGCCAAGATATTTAAGAATAAACATTAATGGTGAGATTGACTGATGATTAAAATAAAAAGTGTGTCCTTATGATAAAGTGCTTTTCAGTTTGTAATGTTCTCATAGCCACACTAACTCATTGGAATGATCTTCAACAACAAAGGGAGCCAGAGCACCCCCAGCCCACTTAGAGACCCCTAAACCCAAGCTGGATCCACTCTGAAGAAACCAGTCCTGCTGCCATCTCCCTCAATACACACACACACACACACACACACACACACACACACACACACACACACAGAGCAACTTGTTTTTCCCAGTAAATCCTAGTATATGCATGACCCCAAAATGAGCTCAATAATAAGATAATGAAATTAAGACTTTTTTTTTTAGGGAAATATTTTAAAGAGGTTCTATCACGTGGATCCCACTTCAATCTCATTTAAACAATTCATGAGAAACACTGGCCATATTACAGTAATCTAGAACCCAAACTACTTCTCCGCTCTGAAGCCTCATTATCATAGTCCACAGCCGTCGTATGTATACATGTGTGCAAATCAGACTTAGAGCTTCTAGGAAAGCTCAGTGACCTCTTCCAGGAATCGAGAAAAACAGACCAAAGTCTTTGGACTCTGTAATATTAGAGCTAATCCTTATTTAAGAAAAATCCTTCTCTAATTTCTCTGCCTTCAAAGGAAATTAGAAACCAAACCAGCATCTCTGACTTTCTGCTCCTGGGCTTCTCTGAACACCCAGAGCACTGGCCGCTCCGGTTTGGGCTCTTCCTGGGCATGTACCTGGTCACCGTGTTGGGGAACCTGCTCATCATCCTGGCCATAGGTTCTGACCAGCACCTCCACACTCCCATGTACTTTTTCCTGGCCAACTTGTCCTTCATCGATACCTGCTTTTCTAGTACTATTGTCCCCAAGCTGCTAGTGAACATCCAGACACAGGACCACACCATCTCCCACACTGGGTGCCTCGTGCAGATGTATTTCTTCATGGCGTTGGCCCTGCTGGATGACTTCCTGCTGGCTGTGATGGCATATGATCGCTACGTGGCTATCTGTCTTCCTCTACACTACACCACGATTATGTGTCCCCAACGCTGCCTATTGCTGGTTACCACATCCTGGCTCTGCGGTCACTTCCTGGCCTTCTCACTCACTCTCCTGATGTCTCAGTTCTCTTTCTGTGCCTCCCATTCCATCCAACACTTCTTCTGTGATCTTCTCCCACTCCTCAGACTTACCTGCTCAGACACCCATGTTTTTCACATCATGATGTTTTCTGAGGCAGCTCTCTCAGGAGTGGTCCCCCTCACCTGTGTCCTGGTCTCTTATGTCCACATCGTCCATACCATCCTCAGGGTCCCCTCTGCTGGGGGGAAGCACAGAGTCTTCTCTACCTGTGGTTCTCACCTGTCAGTGGTCACTCTCTTTTATGGAACTGTCTTTCTGGTGTATTTCCAGCCCTCCTCCTCCTACTCAGCAGACACTGGAATGGTGGCATCTGTGATGTATACAATGGTGACCCCCATGCTGAACCCCTTTATCTACAGCCTGAGGAACAGGGACATGAAGGGGGCTTTGTGGAGACTCTTTGGTTAGGGAAGATGTTCCACCCCATAAAAAGTAATTCCCCAGAGTAGAAGCCCAGTCTTCCCAACATGCCTTCTTCCCTGAACATGACCATTATGAATTTGAAAGTCTCACATTCAAAACAACCTAGATGCTTAGCTTTACATACAGATGCAAAAAATGAAGACTCTGACTCTGCAGGACTGGAATAGGACAACAGGCCAAGGTCAGAGCCCCAGCCTGGAGAGAATGAGTGACCAGTCCCTACAAGGTACTTGATGGATGTATATATATCCAAGTAGATTCGGTCCAGAGTTGGAATACTAAAAATACCAGCAAACACTTGGCTTCTAGGGGCAAACCCAATAGAAGCATGTTGTAGGACTATAAATTCTTCCCCAACAACAAGAAATAATGGCGAGACCAAGCAGATCAGGAGTTCAGTTTAGTCACTGGGCTTTTCAAGGACCAATTCTTTTGTCTTTTTTTTATTATTATTAAATTTATTGGGGGTGGCATTGACTGATCAAAGTATATAGGTTTCCAATGTACAATTATATAATACATCATCCGTATATTGCACTATGTGAGTTTCTTCCAAGTCAGGGACTAATTCTGACCCTGCCTTGGAATAAATTTACTCACTTGTCTCAGCATGGAGAGTATGACACCAAGTCACCAAGCAGGCAGAATCTGTGTGTGGTCTGACAGGGCAACGATATTCTAGAAAAGAATCCTAGGAGCAGAAAGATTAAGATATTTGTCTACTGTCACGTATCTGGGTTCAGATCTTTGTCTCTGGCAGGTGATTTTGTTTCTCATTTGTCAGTTATGACTACTCTTTATTCTTTATAAACTTTTTTATTTTTTCTCCAGCTGAGAAATCATTTATATCATTTACAGTAAATGTCTAAAGTATAAAGAAAAAAATTTTAGTCTCTTCTTTAAAAAACCACTATGAATACTTTACACAAATTCATATGGCCCTTTTCTCTATAAATTTATCTTATATTGTTAAGATGCTGGTTTTTCACGTTGTCTGATAACACGAATGTTTTCCACACTATTACTATTATTAAATCTTTATAAACATTTTCATAATTAATATTATAGCAGAAGCAGGTGCCATATTTATATATAATCTTCCATTTTAGATAATTAGATTTTTAAAATTATTTTTACTATTATAAATAATAACACAATAAAAATTGTTGTGAATAAACCATCTATATAGATCTCCTTAGGTCCTTAAAAATAAATGTTAAGGAATGAGATTGCTGTATGGAACAATTTTCTGGCTCATGATACATCTTGCCTAAGGCATTTACAATATAGTTGATGACTTGCATTCTAGCTGACATTCCGTGAGAGTTCTCTTTTCTCTGCATCCTACCTGTACTTTCTATTCTAATTTTTTTAATTGCTGCAAATATAATAAATAAAATATGGTACCTCTTTTTAAATTTTTTTTGCATACTAACTATTGTCTGTAAATAAATTTTGTTTATTTTTCTGTTTATTATTTATTCATGTCATTTGACTATTTTAAAGACTTGTATAAGTCCTTTCTATATCCAAATTTTACATTTTACACATATGGTGCAAACTTTGCCCTTCTCAACCATCTGTTTTCTTTTTGATTTTTTGACATATGTAAGTTTTCAATTTATATACATGAAACCATTGAAAACAAATCTCCTGGTGACTCTCCTGCCAGTGTTATCATTAGAAAATCCTTCTCTGTGCAGAGTTTATATGATCAGTGAATTGTTTTTCCTTTCAGTATGATGTGTTATTTTTTAATGTTTTATTGAAATATAATTCATATACCATAAAATTCATCCTTTTAAAGTATACAATTCAGTGCTGTTTAGTAAACAATGTGTTATTTTTTTTTACTGAAACAATATATGACTTTTAGAATATCAAATATTAAAGTGATTCTCTCCCTCATATATTTCATTTTTACAAGAATTACTTCTCCATTTATTGTCACATAATTATTTTAAAAAATAAGATGCCGACTACATCTGAACTATTATTCATTCATATATACCATATACATTTCTCCTCAGGGCCTTTTATTTAAATGTTATTTTCCCCTCTGTGGCACTGTCCACTACTCTATGCCCACATCATCTGTAAAAAGTCCCTCTCATACCAGTCCACTCTAGCCACCTGGACATGATCTGTTTTTCTTGTGAGTTCCACTGTCGCTTTATCTCTCCTTCCTATTCCTGCTCTTCTAAGATCAAAAATAACATAAAGATGTCCACGCTTGGCACTTCTATTCAGCATTGTACTAGAGGTTCCAGCCAGAACAATTAAGTTAGAAAAGGAAGTAGAAGACATCCAGATTGTAAAGAAAGAAGTAAAATTATCTCTATTTGCAGATGACAGATGTTATATATTTAAAGATTCCTAAGAAATCCACCAAAAGAGAACTATTAGAACTAATAAACAATTCAGATTCAATGCAATCCCCATCAAAATCTCAGCTGTCTTTTTTTGCAGAAAATGACAAGATGATCCCAAAATTCACATTGAATTGCAAGGCACCAAGAATAGCCAATACATTCTTGAAATAGAAGAGGAAAGTTGGAAGACTCACACTTCCAGATTTCAAAACTTACTATAAAACTGTAATAAGTAAGACAATGCAGTCCTGGCACAAAGCTAAATATGCAGATCAAAGGGATAGAATTGAGAGCCCACAAATAAACCTTCACATTTCTGGTCAATTTATTTTCAACAAGGCTTCCAGGACAAATCAATGGAGAAAAAGTGTTTTCAACAAACAGTGCTGAGACAATTGGATACCCAAATGCAAAAGAATGAAGTTGGATCTTTACCTTACACTACATACAAAAAATTAACTCAAAATGGATCATAGACATCAATGGAAAAATTAAAAATTAAAACTACACAACTCTTAGAAGAAAGCATGGGAGTGAATCTTTATGACCTGGATTAAGCAATCACTTCTTAGTTATGACACAAAAAGCACAAAGGAAATAAATGGATAAGTGGGAATACATCAAAATCCAAAAGTTCTGTGCTTCAAAAGATACCAGCAAGGGAGTAAATAGACAACCCACTGAAAGGGAGAAAATATATGCTTATCATATATATAAGATATTTGTATTAAGATACTTGTCTAATTGAATAGTAAGTATTTTTATATATTCTTTTTTTTTTTTTTTTTTAACATTTGTATTTTATTCCAGTCATCATCAAAGATGGCGTCGGGGCCAGAAGACGAACCTGGATGATTACCCAGGAACTCTGGACAAGCCGACTTTGACTTCCCTTTCACACCAAAGTCCTCTTCTTCCTAAGGCTAAGCAGGGTCAGGCCTGGTTAGTACTTTGGAAGGGAGACCACCTAGGAAGACCAAGTGCTGTAGGCATAAAAAATAAAAAAATAAAAAAATAAGGAATGTAAGCTGACAAGGTCCTTGCAATCTGTGAGGTCAACCAAGGGTTGCCTCATCTAAAAAAAAAAAAGAATATATAAAAATATTTACTATTCAATTAGACAAGTAATCCAACTTAAAAGTGGACGAAGGATTTGAATTGACATTTCTCCAAATAAAAAATGCAAATGGCCAATTAGCCCATGAAAAACATTCGACATCATTAGAGAAGTGCAAAATCAAAACCACATTGAGATATCACTTCATTTTCATGAGGATGGTTATAATAAAAAAATGTTGGCAAGAAATGACAGAAAGGTGAACCCTCCCACATTGGTGGTGAGATTGTAAAATAATGCAGCCATTTGGAAAACAGTTTGGCAGTTTCTCAAAAAGTTAAACGTAGAGTTACCATATGACCCAGGAATTCCATTCTTAAGTATATAACTAAGAAAACATAGGTCTACACAAAAGCCAGAACATGAATGTTCACAGTAGCACTATTCATAATAACCAAAGAATACAAATAACTGAGTAACCGAAGAAACAACCTGAAAAGCATACAACTGTTGAAAATTTTCTGTTAATTAGTATCAGTTCAGGTCCAACGATAAGCGAAAGTCTAAACATAATTAGATATAGAAAAGATACATTAGGGAAAATGCTCGTGAAAGATACAGGAGAATAGGAAAGTCACCAACACACAAGACCGTGCTCACATATAAAGCATAATTCAGCTGCCACTGAGGAAAGGGACAGGAAACCCACTTCTTGGTCCACAAACTGGCCCCGTAACATGGCGGGCAGGGAGAGACTGAAAAGAGTCAGGCCTCTCCAGATTGGTAAGTGGCAGGTTTAATAAGCAAGTCAACTTACCTACCGGTCTTGTCAGCTGCGGCTGTGATGAGTAGGTCTCCGCACCTGTCCGCCAGAAGTTTCTAGTTTATAAAGAGGCTTTAGTGAGGTGTGGACGTGTATATCGTCCGGATAATCTCAACAACACGTTGCTCTCTCAAAGCTGCGTCCTTGAAAATGGCTTGGCTGTGGGAAGGGAGGGGAGAACTTCCGGTCCAAGGTCAGGGGAGGGGTGAGGAGCTCTGACTGCCCGGATGCAACTCTCAGGTCAACTGGCGGTCAGGTTCTCCCCATGACCTCCCCCACAACTTCATCTCTCTTGATGAATTCTCACGATCTTACAAGCCCCCCTTTTCCACAACATGCCCTGGGGGGTCAGCAAGGGGTTTCACCAGCATGAATGGCTCATGGGCGGCCATCTGGCCTCGCCGGAGGCAAATACCCCTGTGGCGCATGCAAGAGAATGCAGATTAAAATAATGATTCCCAAAACAAGTCACAATGTTCCACCAAAAGCCCCATAATCTGAACTACTGACTTATTAAATCCCCTAGGCTGGGGGCCAGATCACTCAGAATGTTCACTGTATCACCAAGGGACTTAAGCAAAGACAATGCTTTAGCAGACTCATAGGGTCTGGGGACACAACACTCTGGATCCTGGCACAGGTGCCTCCTGTTTTGAGGGACGGCTTTTCTCATTAGAGAAAAGTAAAGATAGGCTTTGCTGGCTATCATTTAAGGCTTGGCGGGTGACTTTAT